TTTTGTAGAGATTTTTGCCATAGGGCATATGCGCTCACTAGAAAGACAGAGAGAAACAGAGAGACAAAGCGAGAAATCACCCCTGAGTGGGGATGGCCACGCCGCAATCCCTTCTCCTCCATGCACCTCTTGGGATCTTGGGCACGCACACACACGCACACGGCGTGCGTTTAAGCCACTGGGTCCAGGACTCGAACTGCAGTTGACTACATGGGAGTCCAGCGACGTAGCCATTACACCAACCGCTGGTCCCAAAGCCCAAATTTCTTCAACTACAAAATAGTATCTTTCTCCTGGGGCCAGCAGGTGGTGTGGTGGTTAAGGCACTAGCCAACTGCACAGTTCCAACTCCTGACCCGGCAGCCTGAGAAACACACTGGGTGCATGCCCAGGATCTCGAGAGGAGGGTGGAGAAGGGACTGCGGTGTGGCCATCCCCGGGGCGCTTTCTCACTTTCTCCCTCCTCACGTGCAGACGATCAGAAGCATCTCCTACACTAAGTACGGCCATTTCCCCTCTGTATGCTCCTATTTTCCCAAGTCCTCTACCAAATCCTCTCCTTACATCCTAGGTGCAAAGGATTTCATCACAAGTTTTATCAAAAAGATGAAATCCTGGGGACCAGCAGGTGGCGTGGTGGTGAAGGTGTTGGACACTCCCACATGGCTGACCACAGTTCGAGTCCCGGACCTGGTGGTTTGCTTTCTCACTTTCCCTCTCTCTCACTCTTTGTGTCTCTCAGGTCAAATGAAAATAAATGAATAAATAAAATTATTTTTTTAAAGCTTAAATCCTGATGAACACAAGTAAAATGGCTTACAAAAATATGGGGAGGCCAGCAGGTAGCGTAGCGCTCACGTCGCCGGACTCCCACATGGCTGACTACAGTTCAAGTCCTGGCCCCAGTGACTTGAAACCCACGCCCAGCAAACATGCATGCCCAAGATACCAGGAGGAGAACGGAGAAGGGACTGTGGCATGGCCCTCCCCGGGGGGTGTGAGTTCTCACTTTCCCTCTCACTGTCTCTGTCTCTCTCCCCCCTGGCCAGCTCACATGCCCCATGACAAAAACCTCTAAGAAAGTACAACGGGGAAGGGCTGCCTCATTTCTCAGCCCCCAAACCAGTCATAACTGCCTCGCGCGTGCTCTCAGACGACCCCGGGGGAGGTGGCAGCGGCTGTGCCAGAGCGCCACGTGCACATCCCCCACCTGGTTGAGGTCACGCTTGGGTGTTCACATCCCCCCCTCGCTGTGGTAGCGCCTGGGTGTTCAGAAGCTCGTCCCAGGACTGCAGGGCCTCATGGCAGGGCACCGTCCTCTTGGCTGGGGTGTGGGGGTGCAGAGAGGTAGGAACTGCACACCTCCCTTGCCTCGGGCCATGCTGCCAAGCAGCACCAGGGGCCCAAACACGGGCTTGGCGGCTGTCATAACTGGAGCCCCACAAGCCTCCGCACTTCATAAATCACCCCGCCTCGGGATTTATTTCTGTTTAGCAACAAACACTATTTTCTTCTTCCGATGGTTTTCCGTCATGCAAAAGTCTGACGTCCAGGGCCCGCGTCATCAGACGGCTGAGTGAAGAGTCGGCCACAGGAGCTGTGCTGTGGGTTCTGGTGCTGCTGTGGGGGCCAGGCAGGACTCCTTGTGCCATCCGGGTTAGCACCCCCTGCGTCTAGGGCAGAAACAGCTCCCTCCCTGTTCCCACGAGATGGTTCTAGAACTTTTACTCCCCCTGCCCACGCACCTTCCATGGCCTTTTACAATTTTTTTTTTAAAGAATTATTTTATGGGACCAGCAGTTAACATAATGGCTATGTCGCTGGACTCCCACGTAGTCGACTGCAGTTCGAGTCCCGGACCCGGTAGCTTAAAACTCACGCCGGGCACGTGTGCGTGCGTGCCCAAGATCCCGAGAGGAGAATGGAGGAGAAGGGATTGTGGCGTGGCCATCCCCCCTGGGGGGAGGGTGATTTCTCACTTTGTCTCTCTGTTTCTTTCTCTGTCTCTCTCTCTCTGAAAAGCACAAATGCCCTATAGCAAAAACCTCTCCCCAAAAAAGAACTATTTTATTTAACTTTATTTACTTTAATTTGACCAGAGAAGGACAGAATGAGAGAGAGAGAAAGTGAGAGAGCCAGCCGCCAGGTCCAGGACTTGAACTGCAGTCAGCCGTGTGCACCTGCTGGCCCACTCTTCAGTTATGTTAATCATCTCTTTATTAATGACCACGAGAGACACTACTTTTTTTTCTAATTTTCGATAAGCACTTGCTGGAGAGAGACCGCAAGAGGTGTGTGTGTGGGGGGAATGAGAACGTGCCCTGGGCGGCCCTTCTCCTCCACCTCCTTTAAGGAAGTCTTAAGAAGTATTATTTATTTTATTTTATTTATTAGTAGATTTGTTATTTTTGTTGTTGTTGTTTGGTTTTGGTTTTGTTTTGTTTTGTTTTGAGAGCTTTTTGCTATAGGGCGCGTGCACTCGCCAGACAGACAGAGAGACAGAGACAGAAAGTGAGAAATCACCCCCCAGGGGGGATGGTCACGCCGCAATCCCTTCTCCTCCATTCTCCTCTTGGGATCTTGGGCACGCACGCACACGCGCCCGGCATGAGTTTTAAGCCACCGGGTCCGGGACACGAACCGCGGTTGACTACGTGGGAGTCCAGCGACATAGCCATTACGCTAACTGCTGGTTCCCTGTTTGTTTGTTTTTCATTTGACCAAAGAAAGACAGAGACAGAAGGAAAATGAGAACACAAGATGCCTGGTCCGGGACTCAAACAGTGGTCAGCGATGTGGGAGTCCAACGCCTCAACCAACACGCCACCTGCTGCCCTCCTTTCGGGATTTCGAGCACACCTTCATATGCACCCAGTATGATTTTCAAGCTGCCAGGTCCAGGCTTCAAACCATTGCTGCCCAAGTGGGAGTCCAGCACCTTAACCACATCACTTGCTGGTCCTGCATATGAATTTTTTCACTGAAAAATTCTGTCTTGCCATAGGGCACACGCATTTGCCAGAGAAAGCGAGAAATCACCCCCAGGGGAAATGGCCACACCACAGTCCCTTCTCCTCCATTTGCCTCTCGGGATTTGAGGCACACTCACGCCCAGGCCTGTGGTGTTTTTCAAGCTACCAGATCCAGGCTCCAACTGCGGTCGGTTATGTGGGACCCAGCACCTTAACTTCCATGTTGGGCCTTGGGTGGACCTTCCTACCCTGGACTTCCAAGAGGGGTTTGCAGGACCAGCAGTTGGCATAATGGCTATGTCACTGGACTCCCAAACAGTTGACTACAGTTCGAGTCCCAGACCCGGTGGCTTAAACTCGCGCCAGGTGCGCATGCCTAGGATCCCGAGAGAACGGAGGAGAAGGGATTACAGCATGGCCATCCCCCCTGGGGGGTGATTTCTTGCTTTCTGTCTGTCTGGCGAGCGCACACACCCTATAGCAAAAATCTCTCCCACCCAAAAAACAAAAACAAAAACAAAAAAAGACCCAAAATTGCACAATTTAAATATTGTTATTTCATATTTCTGTTAGTTTTAAATTTTCCTATGGGGTATGTGTGCTCGGCAGAGACAGAAAAGGTTACAGTGAGAAAGCGTCCTGGGGGACAGCCACGCCACAATCCTTTCTCCTCCAGACTCTTCTAAGGAGTTCGGACACACACACACATGCATGCACACGCACATGCACACACACGCATGCACACATGTTTTTTTCAAGCTGCCGGGTACTAGACTCGAACTGCAGTCGGCCATGAGACCCAGCTGCCTTAACTACCATGCCACTTGGGTAGCCCTGTTTCGTATTTTTTACGCATTTGTTACGTATTTTTGACATCTATCAAGGAAAATTGGAAATGTGTGATTTCTCTAGACATCTACGACTAATGGAAGGCATGCGGCTTGGTCGATGGGGAGCTAAGCGGCCCTAGCGCCCCGGAAGACACAGCCAGTGCTCTGCATCTGCTGCCAGCCTGAGGGGCAGCACGGCCTGGCCCAGGCCCCAGCCGAAGGGCGTCCTAGCAGGAGCCGCACTGCAAGTCGGGTGGGCCCGGTGGGCTGAGGACCCCGGATCCCCAGGGCCTGACGCTCCTCCTGCAATGGCTGCTCATTAACCTCACTGCCATCTTTCCCCCGTCTTCCCTTTGCCCAAGCACAGGTTGCTCCCGCTGCTAGCTCTGGATTGTGGAGTGAGGAGAGCCCCCAGCCTGGATCTCCCGGTGCCAAGAAGGTACTCATGGAGACACCCACAGTGAGGGTGTGAAGGGCACACACACGGTCAGACCCAGAGGAGCTGGGTGGAGGACAGCTCAGGAATGTGGGCCCAGACCCCTGCCAGTTGCTGAGGAAGCGTGGCCTTGGCTAAGGCAGGTCTGCCCCGTCCCCTCCTGCCCGTCAGATCTCCACACCCTCCCCTGCCCTTCCCAGTGCCCTCTAGGCCACACACGGTGCCTGCTGGCCTGGAGACCTCTGAGGAGGCGTGCCTTCACACTGGGCTTTGTCCAGGGCCCACAGTGTCGGCAGGCCAGGCTCAGGGGAGGTGACCAGCAGGAAGTCCCGACTAGCCCTCCACCGCCCAGCCACGTGTCCTCCCAGACCCCAGGCTCCCTCTGTCCTGAGGACTTCAGGTCACGTGTGAAGGCCGTCAGAGCTGCGGACTCTCTGCTTCTGGACGGTCGCTGTCGCAAGCGTGTACAGCTGAGGAGGGAGCAGGGCCTAGAGCAACTGCAGACGTGCTGTCACTGCCTGCTCAGCAGTGGGAGCCTGGAGAACGGGAGGGCTGCGGCCGCCCAGACCCCACCCCATTGCTCCGTCTTCCCGTCACCGTCACCGGGTGGGTGGCCAGTGCTGTCTGCAGTCCCCAGGCAGCTTGCACCTGGCCTGCAGTCCCAAATCTGAACCACGCCTGCCCCATCTTTGCAGCCGTGAACGCCACTGTCCTAACACAGGCACCCGGAGGCCGGGCTGCTGGGTATGCGGCCTCCACTGTGGGCACAGGGTTGACACCGAAGCGAGAAGCTCCAGGAGGAGGATGCCCTGCAGAGGCTGTGCCAGGGTCTCCCCAGGGGGCTCCGGACCTTTGTGAAAGTGAGCAATTCGGAGAGAGCACCAGGGAGGCCCCACAGGGCCCAGCCGTTTGTGGGAAGGCCGGGCATCCAGGCCTGCCGTGGCTCTGAACACGGGCTTCGCAGCAGGCCAGGGAGGCCACAGGCAAGGATGGCCCTATCAGTGCAATGCCTGTGACTGGAGCTTCAGGTGGCACTCGGAGGTGGCCAAGCACCAGAGCGTGCACGCGGGGGTGGGGGGAAGCCCTACGCGTGCAGCGACTGTGGGAAGGCCTTCATGCACAGCTCGCACGTCGTCCGCCACCAGAGGAGCCACCACAGCAAGAGGCCCTACACCTGCCAGGAGTGCAGCAAGGTCTTCAGCCAGAGCTCCAACTCAGCCGGCACCAGCGCGCCCACACCGGGGAGAAGCCCTTCGCCTGTGCCGACTGCGGCAAGGCCTTCAGCCAGAGGGCGGACACCGCCCAGCACTGGCAGGTGCACACTGGGAGCGGCTGCACACGTGCAGTGAGTATGGCAAGGCCTTTGCACACAGCTCCACCGTGGTCTGGCACCAGAGAACGCACCACGGAGACAGCCCCTATGAGTGCGCGGAGTGTGGGAAGGCTTTCAGCCAGAGCTCCAACCTCAGCCAGCACCAGCGGGTGCACACGGGCGAGCGGCCCTATGCCAGGACTGCGGGCACAACTCAGCCGCAGCTCCTTCCTCCGCTAGCACCGCAGGATCCACACAACCGGCACCAAGCCCGACCTGCCCTCCCCAGAGCCTCTGTATGTGGCTACACGGCCCGCACTAGCGACAGCCGGGCTGGGAGGAGGCAGGGCCACTGGCCTCTGAAGACGGCAGGGATGTGCTGTGGGCCTGAGTAGCTTCACGGTGAACAGTCCACTCAGGCTGGAAGGGAACGTCCTCCACTGGTGGAGGACACATACAGACCCACAGTTAGCCTCGCGAGCAGGACGAGAGCTGCCATTCCCACTGCCCTGAGGTCTTCTCCCAGACCCCTGCATAGGCACATGACAACCGCGTGTCTGCAGGAGGCATGGCTTCACATGCAGACAGCCCTGGGAACCCACAGGAACTGGCACCGACAACTGCCCCGGGTACAGGGCCCGCAGAGACGGCAGCTGCAGCACAGCAGTCTGTAACAGCGCCACAGAGGTGGCCGTGCACACTGGCACACTGGGCCAAGGCCCCCCAGCAGCCGGGCACTGTGGCACGGGGGCTGAGGCAGGACAGGCACGCACACGTGTACCCCGAAAGCAAGCAGCGCAGACAGCAGTCAGTACGACCAGCAGGTGAAGGACGTGCAGTGCCAGTTGGACCACGGCTGAGATTAGGTGGGCTGAGCAGTGGAATGCCACCTTGTGTGCACGACCTGCGAGACCGTGGTTAAGACAGCGCCCTACAGGGCCAGCGGGTGACACACTGGCTACACACTGGGTGCCTGCACGGTCCACTGCAGTTCAGACCCAGGGGCTTGAAAACCATGCTGGGCACATGCACGCGTGCCCACGTCCCGAGAGAATGGGAGGGGAGAGCGGCAGGCCGTCCCCCGTCTCCCCCTCTGCATCTCTGTGTCCCTCTCTGGCAAGCACACATGCCCTATTGCAAAAACGGAAACAGAAGAAGACCACAGCACCGCACCACAGATGTGACCCAGGTACACCTGCCCGCGCCCACCCACCTTCTGCGTGGGACGGGCAACCTGAGGCACGGGGAAGATTGTTTTGGCTCCTTGGGGTTCCTCATACTTCCGTGGGAACCGCGGGTCAGGTTGTCCATTTCTGCACGGCAGCTGGGGGTGACGCCTGCCCGAGACGGCGCCAGCTCGGGGGTGCGGTGGTGCACCCTCCAGGCAGTGCTGGATGCACCTGCGGCCTCAGGGGTGGTTCCCTGGTGGGCCTGTCCGCTCCAGGCACATGTGCCGTGGCCCAGGTGGCCGGGAGCTGTGGGGATACTGGTGCGAGACCCTCTTCAGGGGCTTTTCTCTCTACCTCTCTGTCGTGGAAGAGAAAAACAGCTTTTAAAAAGGTCACCATGGGCCAGCAGATGGCTTGGTAGTTAAGGCGGTGGACTCCCACACGGCTCACCGTAGACTGAGTCCCAGGCCTGGCAGTTTGCTTTCTCACTCTCACTCTGTCTCTGGTCAAAGTGAAGAATAACAAGTAAAATTAAGTAATTTTTTAAATCACAATATACTTCAGTACCACTGCACCGTACGGTCTGAAGTGGTTAGAATGAGAAAATTCAGACACATTAAGAACCACTGAAGTGGCTCCATGACTTTCTTTTTCTTTCTGAGAGATCTCTGCTACAGAGCATGTATGCTTGCCAGAGAGACCGAGCAATCGCAGATGGAGAGTCGCACTTGGGACCAGCAGATGGCATAGCGTTTACATCGCTGGCTCCCATGTGGCCCACTACGGTTAGAGTCCTAGACCTGTTGAACTGAGAATCATACCAGGCACACGTGCATCCAAAATCCCGAGAGGAGCGCGGAGAAGGGATTGCGGTGTGGCCATCCAGTGCACCACAAGCCCTTCACCATTCTCCTCAGGATTTGGGGCATGCAGGCACACAAACCTCCTGTGAGTTTTAAGCCACTGAGTCCAGTACCCGGTCAACTATGTGGGAGCCCAGCAACCTAGCCACGATGCCGTCTGCTCGTCCCAGAGTCCATAACGTTCTCATACTCTCCCTGAGAGAAAAAGAGCTGAGGGCCAACTGGTGGGGTGGAGGTTAAGGCAAATAGACCCCACATGGCCAACCGAGCAGCTCCAGTCGCAGACCTGCAGCTTAAGAACACACAGGGGACGAGTGCACGTATGGTCAAAATCCGGAGAGGAGAAACGCAGACAAGACTGTGGCGTGCCATTCCCACAGGAGCTGCTGCCTCACTTCCCCTCTCGCTCTCCTCCAAGTACGCATGCCTCCTGGCAAATGAAAGAGAGAGAAAAGAGAGAGTTGGGACAGAGCATCAGGCACGGGGACAGACCCTGCCTCTCTAAGCAGCACGAGGTGAAACCGTTGGCTAGACCTGGGCAAACGCGTTTGTCTGCCTGGACAGCATTTTGTAAAAGTGCAGCAACATTTAACTCTTGGGATAGTTCAGCATAAAAGTATTCCACCATCACTTGAACAAATCAGCAACCGGGAAGGTGTGGGCCCTGGGCCCGGTGCCCATCAGCAGCGAGCCGACCGCTGCTGGTGTGGCCGGACAGCGTGGAGCAGCAGCGGCGCGTGTGCGTGGACGGAGCGGGTACAGGAGGCTTGTACACACATCCGACTCCGAAGTCAGGGGACCACGTAGCTCACACACGGCAATCCTGCTCGACACCAGACAGGGAAGGGAGCGACTGGCTCAGCTGTCCCTTGCCGTCAGTCGAACGCAGTCCTGCCACCGAGGCCTGGACTCGGCCACAGCGCCACATTTCTCAAAGGCAAAGCTCGACACCATTTTCCAGCAGGCTTCCCTTTACTCTGCTAGATGACGGGGCTGTTCACACCCACACCTGTGACACGCAGGCACAGCAGCAGGCGAGGGGCGAGGT